TTATTTTGCTTATGACCAGTTCATATTTGTAAGCACAATAAGCCTGAAGTATATAACAAATGCAATACTGCTTTGCATCAGCAGCTTTGAACAAAGGATAGCAAGCTGTCAACAGAGCTACGGCCACATGAATGACAAGATTCCCATGGCAAAATCCTCTATTTGAGCAGCAGATCACAGTTCACATAGTACAGGCATATGGTTCATAACCTAGGCTCACTCTTGTTTTAGAAAGAACACAGCTAAAGAATAAGGAAATACTTACATAGTTGGCTGCACTGTTTCTTTGATTTTTCCATATGCTAGTAAGGAGGCAGATCCTACTGTATAATTAAAGAGACAAATAAAGAAAGCTGCAGGCTTCTGGGAAAGCGTAGCTACTTAGGGGTGGGTGCTGGAGTAAGGGTAGAGGGATATAAGGGTAGAGGGATAATAAATCAAATTTGATCATTATGGAAGTTCCATCCCTCTTTGCACTATGACATTTTTGTCTGGCTTAGAGTCAACAAGGTAGAATTATTCCATCCTCAGGCTGGAGAATGTGCAAATCACAAATGTAATGAATTTACATTTTCACAATAGTCCTAATTGTGTGTCAGTGTGAGACCAACATTATAGTTCATTTTCAGAATGCAGGAGACTAAGAATCAGTAGGTTAGACAGAACTAAAAGCTTCTACAAGGTGCAAAGTAGAGAAAGGACCCCGGTGATTTAGGGAAGAGACTAATACTCAAATGTACCAATATAACAAAAAAAATCTCCATAAATAAAGTTGGAACTGTTTTCATTAATTATGACTCTCAGATTAAAAAAATCCTAAATGGAAAGAACCAAAGGGAATAATCCAGAAGTGTCTGAAAAATCTGAGGACAAGATCACATCGGCAAAATAAATGTCCAGGAATTTGGGAGATGTGATCGCCCATGAAGGACCTTCCTCAAAAATTTTAAACTTCACTCAAAATCACACCACTGAATTGTGCTTTGAGTTGAAGACACCCATCAAAACTTTATTTCCTTTGGCCCAGGATCAATGCCATTACATGTGTGACAAGTTTTTTATCTTTGTGCCAATTGGGCCTATATTCAATAGGGCCAAATGGAAAATTTCTATCTTGAGAAACTTTGGCAAAAGCCAAAGACAGCCATCTGAAAATGCTCTACAGACACAGCACACACATGAATTAATGCTAAGACAAAGAACTGTGAGCCGGTAGATCTAAACCAAATAGTGACTATGACGATAAGAGCCAGACATTTGCTATGTACTGCTCTGAAGAGAGAATCATTCTTGAAGTTGTTGAGTCACTCACACAGAGCACAGAACTAGAAAAGAAACCTCCAAAGATATTCTGATGCCTGAAACTCTGTCCTGATGATAAAAATTGAGACCTATAAATATGAAGCATCATAAAGGAATTACCTTTGGGTAATGGCTGAGTTGAAAAAAAAAAAAAAACATTAATAGCCTTTTGATTCCAAGCTAGGTTATAAAACACAATCTTGTCTTGAATCAAGGTTTAGTGGTAGTGTTAGCATAGTTACCCAAAGTTACATTGTTCTGGATTTTGGCTTCAAATAGATATATTAGCAAATTGATATTCTGAGGACCTTGAGGTGAGCAGTACATTGCCATATTTGTTTAAGCATGATAAGAATATGAATCCATCACAATATGGAGAATGTATGAAGTGCAATGGCTTATTTCTAATTCATGCAAATAAATATCTTTCCAGGCTATACGGAAGATGTAGCTTCATATCAAAAAACAAGGGAATGGTGTGCATATTCTGTATGAGGTCATAGCCACAAAAACTTTACAAGGATGTCCTTTAATTAGTATCAGCTCACCTGTGTATGGGAGAAACAGGTAGAAAAGTGAGTTATACCAGTGCTACTCCTCCATGCTGTGATGCAGCTGCTTGGGGAGGCTCTTGTGCACTATGTAAAACTGGCCATAGTGGGTGGGTGCTGCCTAGGGTTCCTAAATACTTCTAGCCCCAGAACCAATGTCTGACATCAAGATAACCATTGCAAGATGTTGTTCTGGTATCATGACCTACAGAAGTTACGAGAGCTTTTACAAAGCATGGCTTTTTCTGTTGAAGAGGGGAGGAGCTTAGGTGCTGAGATACTGGAGGCCAGGCATGCTCACACCTGCATGGACACTGCTATGAAAATTCCTACTGAAATATACAGTTTTTCTAAACCCATTTTACATTTCCTACATTGGCATTACATACTAACATGGAAATACCAAAAAATGAGCTATCGAGGAAGGCAGGACTTGATGTAAATACCTATGTATAAAGGGACCTGAAAATCACAATAGTGAATCTTTATTTCATCCAAAAGTATTTTCTTCTATCAAAAATAAAGCCACAGCTTGAGCTTCATGCATATTTAGAAGATTATATTTTATGTCATCAAGAAGATAAATTATAAAAGGAAATTTTAAATAGAGTTTATCTTAGGGTATTAAATACATGATAAACTTACTCTGTTTTCAATGATGTTTAAAATATTCATTTCTCTCTGTGGAAGACGTGTGGTATTCAGGTAATAATAGTTTCATTTAAAGAGACTTTAAAAAGTATATAGATTATGCTAAATGTTTTTCTTATTATTAAGTTAAATGAATAATGTATTATTGACATTTTGTGAGTTAATATGCTACATGAGTGCCTGTGATAGTTTTTATTTTATTTTTTTTATTATTATTTTTTTTGTAAATGACATAAATTTATTTTTCATCATTCTGGAGAATAGAAAGTCCATGATCAGGGTGCTGGCAGATCTGGTGTCTATTGAGTGCTCTTTCCACATAGGATTTCTTTGATTCTTCATATGCTGGAAGGGTACAAACAAGCCCCTTGTGCCTTTTTTTTAATTTTTTATTAATTACACTTTATTCATTTTGTATCCCCCCATAAGCCTCTCCCTCCTCCCCTCCCAATCCCACTCTCCCTCCCCTTTCTGCATGCATACCCCTCCCCAAGTCCACTGATAGGGGAGGTTCTCCTCTCCTTTCTGATCTTAGGCTATCAGTTCTCATCAAAAGTGGCTGCACTGTCCTCTACTGTGGCCTGGTAAGGCTACTCCCCCCTTAGGGGGAGGTGATCAATGAGCAAGCCAATCAGATTATGTCAGAGGCAGTCCCTCTTCACATTACTATGTAACCCACTTGGACACTGAACTGCCATGGGCTACATCTGTGCAGGGGTTCTAGGTTATCTCCATGAATAGTCCTTGGTTGGAGTATGAGTCTCTGGGAAGTTCCCTGTGTTCAAATTATCTTGTTCTGTTGCTCTCCTTGTGGAGTTCCCATCCCCTCCAGCTCTTACTATTTCCCACTTCTTACATAAAATTCCATTCACTCTGCCCATCAGTTGGCCATCAGGCTCAGCATCTGCTTCGATGCTGATTCCATTTATTCCATTGATCCACCATTCTGTTTCTATGCCAGTACCATGCAGTTTTTATAACTGTTGCTCTATAGTACAGCTTGAGATCAGGGATGGAGATACCTCCAGAAGATCTTTTATTGTAGAGGATTGTTTTAGCAATTGTGGGTTTCTTGTGATTCCATATGAAGTTGAGAATTTTTCTTTCCAGGTCTGTAAAGAATTGTGTTGGTAATTTGATGGGAATGGCAATGAATCTGTAGATTGCTTTTGGTAAGATGGCCATTTTTACTATGTTAATCCTGCCAAGCCATGAGCATGGGAGATCTTTCCATCTTCTCATATCTTCCTTTAATTCTTTCTTCAGAGATTTGAAATTTTTTTCATACAAGTCTTTGACTTGCTTGGTTAGGATTACACCAAGGTACTTTATGTCATTTGTGGCTATTGTGAACGGTGTTGTTTCTCTAATTTCTTTCTCAGCCCTTTTGTCTTTTGTATACAGGAGTGCTACTGATTTTTTTGAGTTAATTTTGTATCCGGCCACTTTGCTGAAGGTGTTTACCAGCTGTAGGAGTTCCCTGGTAGAGTTTTTGGGGTCACTCATGTATACTATCATATCATCTGCAAATAGTGATAATTTGACTTCTTCCTTTCCAATTTGTATCCCCTTGATCTCCTTCAACTGTCTTATTGCTCTAGCAAGGACTTCCAGCACTATGTTGAAGAGATATGGAGTGAGTGGGCAGCCTTGTCTTGTCCCTGATTTCAGTGGGATTGCTTTAAGTTTCTCTCCGTTCAGTTTGATGTTGGCTGTGATAGTTTTAATAATGAACAGTTTCTAAAACAACCTATTCCTATTTTTGACTAAATGTCAGAGGGACAGGTATTTAAGAAAAAGCATTTTATAAATCTTGGAGCTGAGTGTGCAGTTCAGTAGTACAGTGCTTGCTTAGTTTGTGTAAAGCTCTGGGTTTGGTCCCCAGTATACACATATACATCACCCCTGCCCCCCACAATGGCCATGGTGGCTCATAACTATGACTTCAGCATTTGCAACACTGAGATAGGATTATTATGATTTTGGAGTCAGCCTGGTCTATGTAGTGAATCCCAGGCCAGCCTGAACTACATAATGAGATTCAATCTCAAAAATAAAACAAAAGAAAAACAGAGCATAGTCTTGCTAACACTGGTTTTATAAATGCACATTTCCCTCACACTGCAAACAATGCAGAGTCCTTCTAATTCTCACTGCAACACAATGAAATTGCTAGGCGGAACAACACAGCTTGTGTCTCCAGAAAAAAAAAAAACAAAAAACAAAAACAAACAAACAAACAAAAAAACAGAATAGAAGCTATTCTGACTCTAAACCTATGACTACAATGGAGTTTTTTTTAATGAGGATTTTTATTTTTGAATGGAATATTTTACCAAGAATGTTTTAATCAAGAAGGATGGATACATTTTGACATGGATGTGTTTCTAAAGTAATAACTGCCAGGCAGGGCCCACTGCTCATTAGGTTCTGTTGTCAGAACCCATGGAGTGTCTAAGGGCAGGGAAGGCAGGGCTGAAAGGAACAAGGGCTCACCTGTATTCTCCAAATGTTCCATCATCTTCCTTCATGGGCTGGATTTCGGGGTCTGCGTGAGCATCCTCCTTTTCTTTAACTGAAAAGTTTGAAGTGACATTATTATCCATGGATCCTGAACTTCCTTGTTCAAAGTTTGCATTGCTGAGCAGAGACAGCAGAGCAAAGATAATCTCTATATGAGTAGATGCTGTGTAACTACGTATTTAATGTGGCTATGAATGTGCTTTGATATTTACTAAATCAATGCTTATTAACACATCAGGCTATATCAGTCTTTTCCCTGTTGAAGAAATGATTTTTAAGTTTCTTATATTTCTTCTCTATTTTCCAATTAGTGTATTGACGATAACAAATCATTTTGTAAATATATTATTTTGCAGTGTTTTAAAATGATTTTTAATGTTTTTAATCACATGATAAATTGTCAGGTAAGTAAGATATAAATTCATCAACTATACAGGGACCATAATGTAATGTCACACAGGTTATTGTATTCCCTCTGGAAAAGTGTACATGCTGGCTCCTTCTTTTCCTGTATACTGGCTTTTGGTGCTACTTCAATGCTCATAACCCTTTTGGAACCTAAGGAAGCAGGTTTTCTTGGAGAACTGACTGACATATTTCTCCATGTACCCTATGACCCATGACAGTCTGTATGATATAATGAGGGGTCAAAATGGTTTGATCAGGAAATTCAAATATATGCCTCTAAGAGGATAGACTTTTCCTATCTCCCTTATTTATTTTAAGTTTAGCATATAATTCTGTAGCACTAGAAAGCATTTTTAATCCCTCTTACCTGGATATTTTCCACCCTTGTTTCTTCTGATGAAACAAACGATGAGCAAAATTAAGATGAGGAGGGCAACAGCACACATTAGACCTATGAACCAGCCCTGGGTTGCAATATCCACTTGCCGGCTTGCCATTGCTACAAAACAAATCAATGGCATCAGTGGGAATAGGTTAATATCAAAATGAGATCTGTTTTGGTCTTTTCATTAAAAACAAAACAAACAAACAAAAAAAACCAAACAATGCCACAGTATATGAGCCTTTAGGTACCTTTCACAGGACTTTAAATTGGAATCTGCCAATCATCAATGAGAAATTACATACTCAACTTTGAAAAACTTTTATTATGTAAAAATTTAAAATAGAGAAATCTTGATGTTAGTAAGAGTAAGTGCCACTGCACCCTGCTAAACCCTGGGTTCACAGTTACTTCAAGTGCATATTTCTCAATAGAAGTACAGTTCCAAACCAAGTAAAATCTATTATCTTGGGGATAAAATAAAGTATGCTAATATAAAACTGAATTTTAGGCAGACCAGAATATATACGTCTAATGGAGTATTTTCCCTTCAAAAGAAATGACTTTGGGAGGTGAAAATGTCACTGGAATGCTGAAGCTATTTTTTCAGTGTTTTAGAAATCTGTTAAGAAAAGAAAACGGACCATGCAAGAAACCTAGCCACAGAACGCCAACATTATTATTTTACAAAACACCAAGATTCTGAATAAAAATCCTGAGAATGTCAAATCTGCTGTCAAAGGGCCAGTATTTGTTATTGTTTGGGCTCTATTATTCAAAGAACCTTAAAATATATTTTGATCAATAGAACCATTATTTGGAGTAAGTGAACAGTTTGAAGAGAAAATACTCATTTACAAGTATACAATTCTTTATGTCTCCATCTATTCTGTTTGAGTAAATGATGTGGAATTATTTATTCAGCTACTCATAGTACGCAAAGCTCCTAAATTTAGGTATTATGAAAAAGTGTCAATTGCATGGGACAAAGTGCAGCATCAGTGGCTATTCAGATATGCCCACAAGGACTTGTTTAAGTAAGTTTGCATGAATTCTTTATTAAATTCCTTTGTTTTTTCTTTTTTAACCATAAGCAACAAAAATGTTTTCTTCTTTTGCTTTTATACACATGCCTATATTGTGCCTTTAATCTGAGTTTCCTCTGAAAGTGCTTCACTATAGGGTTAGATGTGTGTGACTTCTGCATGCAGAAATAAGCATGTGTATCCCAGATTTCCCATATGAAGTAACATTTCATTGTGTCCTTTTGCTAAAGAAAATCTAGGGAAAAGATGAAATAGTAAAAATCAAGTGTGAAGTGGGATGTAAAAAAATGTCTGGAGAAATGTTTAAGAAATAAAATTGGAGGTGAAAATATATTATTTGGAACATAAAACAGAGGCCAAAAGCCTTTTATAAACAGCCCCCTATGCCTCATTAATCAGAGGGGCTTTGAGTTGTATTGTAACCAGGAACATGTAGAACTTGTGTAAAAACAGCTCTAGCTTTCATACACATGTCACAGTGGTGGTGATGATGATGGGGATGGGATAATAATGATGCCAGCTAACAATTTATTTCTCTATGCTAGGAACGTACTGGAGGCAAGATCTCATTTAACCCTTACAACAGTCCTATGAGGTAGGAATTGTAATAATCCCAAGGCCAGAGAGGGTGAGAACAAGAGCTTTTCTAAGAGCGAGAAGGGAACTGTGTCTGTTTGTCTGTCTTTAGTTAGTGAACATGCCACTAGGCTATTTAACTGTCCTGATATAATGCATTCCTGAAAATATGGCCAGACACCAAATTCACAAATGTCTGAATATAATAAACTTCCTTGGGTATTTTCCAACAAGGTAAAGTTTGGAAAATGTTTGAAAAATTCATTACATTCTCTTCAGCAATATAATCTTAATAATTTACACATGGCCTTTGCATGCCTTTCTTCAAACAGAGCCCAAAACTACATGGCAAAAGTTATTTTAATCATGAGAATACTTGATAATATTGCATTGTTATAAGTAGTTTCAGCATTTGTGTCTTTCATTAAATCAAATGAGACTGATGAGATAAAAGACAAGATGCTCAAGTGTTAGTGCTGACACTTATCTTCCACAAATGGATACTTTCAGAATTGAATTCCTTCCCAGCAGTTACCCATGAGTAGCTGTGCAAAACTAACTGTTCCCTGGAATCTGACCAAAGTTGTTCACGTTAACTTTGAATTTTTGCTTCTATATCAAAGAAAAACAGTATTTGGCTTTTCTACAATCCACTATTTAAGAATAGCTACTCACAACAAGTGAGCAGGTACATGCATACATACATACATACACACATACATACATAGACAGAGACAGACAGACAAAGAAGAAATCTTTTGGGCTTTTTTGTTCTTGGATCTGAGCTTCAAAGAGTTTGACTTTGAAGTGAATCCAAAAAGCTCATGTGTTTGAACACCTGGTCCCCAGCTAGGGTTCTCTTGAGAGGTTGTCATTCTTGAGAGGTGAAGCCTTGCTGGAGGAATTTGTTCAATTTGTGTCTTATTTCCTGGTCCTCCCAATACTGTATGCCTGATTCTTGGTCTATCAAGACATGAACAAGTAGCTTTGGGCTCCTGCTGCAATAGCCACTTGCCACTTCCACCATCATCCTTTCCCATCATGATGAATTAGACTCTCAAACCACTGGCTGAAATAAATCCTTCTTCATTAAGTTATGTCTCATCAGGTCACAGAAAAGAAAAAAGTAGCTAATATATGTGGATATTAGTTGAAAAATGAAAGTAGATTTCCTTCTCATCTAGAATTTCTATAGTTAAATCATATGCATGTATTGCTTGAATTATCTACTAGCTGATAAATTAAACTAACATAAAAGGAGCATGCAAATACAAAATAAGGCAAAGGAGTGAGGTCTGTCTTGATTCCTAGACATTTCGGAACAGTCTGTTGTTCTCATTTTGCTTGTTGTAACATGAATAGTCTGTGCTGCATGGTGGGAGATCTCTGAGTACAGTGTTCTTTGGTACTCTGAATCATAGAGTGAGACATATGATTGATATTTATGAAGAATTCACAAACATAAAAATGTCCTGTCTAGAACCTGGAAACAGCCCAGATGTCCATCAACAGAGGAGTGGATACAGAAATTGTGGTATTTTTACACAATGGAATACTACTCAGCAATCAAAAAGGAGGAAATCATGAAATTTGCAGGCAAATGGTGGGATCTAGAAAAGATCCTTCTGAGTGAAATATCCCAGAAGGAGAAAGACAAACACGGTATATACTCGCTTATATAGACCTATAAGATATGATAAACATAATGAAATCTATACACCTAAAAAAGATAATCAAGAGAGCGGACACGGGGTAAGATAATCAATCCTCATTTAGAAAGACAGATGGGATGTGCATTGAACATATGACAGGAGTCTACCGCAGAAGGCATCTGAAAGACACTACTTAGCAGTGTTTCAAAGCAGACACTAAGACTCATAACCAAACCTTCGGCAGAGTGCAGGGAATCATGAAAGAAGGGGAGTTAGTATGATGGGGAAAGAATAAGAGCTCCACAAGGACCAAATATATCTGGGCACAGGGTCTTTTCTGAGACTGACATTCAACCAAGGACCATGTATGGATATAACCTAGAACCTCTGCTCGGATGTAGCCCGTGGTAGCTCAGTAACCAATTGGTTTCCCATAGTGAGGGGGAACAAGGACTATTTCTAACAGGAACTCAGTGGCTGGCTCTTTGACCTCCCCACCCCCCAAGGGAGGAACAGTCCTGTTAGGCCACAGAGGAGGACTTTGCAGACCTGATAAAACAGGGTCAGATGAATGGGGAGGAGGTTCCCCCCCCCCATCAGTGGACTTGGAAAGGGGAAGGGCGGAGAGGAGGGAGGGAGGGTAGGATTGGGAGGGAATGAGGGAGCGGGATACATCTGGGATACAGAGTTAATAAAATGTAACTAATAAGAAAAAAAAATAAAAAATAAATGTCCTGTCTAGTTAAAACAGTTAGAAATGGAAAGAATGAGCTTGAAAAACAGTAAGGTTTTGGGCCCAAGAACAGATCTTTCTTAAAAGAGAAGGGTTCCACAACTGAGGGGCTGAAGTATAAAGGACAAAAAGGGCAATGTTAGAGAGAGGTCACATCAGGACAGAGTGCTCTGCTCACTGTCCTCCCTACAGTCCTGCTGTTTTCTGTCTCAGTGTATGCTACAGGTCACAGTTAATAGTATCCTGGACACACAGACTTCAAAGGTGGGCACTGCCATGTACTCTGAAGTGTACTGCCATGTTCACTGCCATGAACTCTGGAGGGAAAGGTGAGCTGAAGTTTCTGGAATTAGCAAATCTCAGAGAAAGAAGCAGCACATGGATGGACACAGAGTCAAAAATTAGGCAATCAGTAAGCGTCCCCTCAAAACCTAGTGTTGAGAGGAAGCCAGAACAGCAGATTAAAGGTTTGCATGGAGTGCTTCCTTTAGTCCTAAGAACAGAGCACTGCCCCCTGGGAGGAGGTGGGGACGTTACTAGAACTATATCAACACTTGGTTGTTGTTGTTATGTAGATTATGTAGAAGGTGACAATAACTTGGTCTTGCAGCATCCTCCATCACTGGCACACAACAATGTCCCACTCTTTCCATTTACTCATCTTGAATAAGACTAACACTTGCCACTGGGGTAGCAAGCATCTACCCCTGAAGAAAAGATGTTTTTGTTTAAAGGAGACATCTTTGATGGACAAACATGCTAGCTATACCATACTATAGCCCTACCAGACTGCAGTTGTGACTGGGGCAAGTTCTTCAAATTGACACATGGTGGAAGTGGACAGCAATGATGCCCACTTTAGAGGGATTTTGTGAGTATGGAATGAAAAAACTTCTTGCCTATTGTACAGTAGACTGATTAAATGCTGTATTATTGCTCATATTCTAGCTGTATGTCTACACAAACTTTTAGTATTTTGAAATTAACAGTTATCATTAACAAGTAAATGTCTTGCAGAGCTGAGTTGTTTAGAATTCCCCTTTTATATTTAATACATTTCCTAGATTATATGTGCAATGAATATGAAATAGAAGGAACAGAATGATGGGATTTTTCTTAAAGCATACATATTTAGAAAGCCTTGTTTTGTAAGTTATTCATTATTAACTTTGGTTTCTCTTTTTAAAACTCTTCCTGGGTGAATATTTTTAAGTGATATGAAATGGTTTTAAAATCATGTTTTGTTAATAAAACTACAACACTCCATCTTTGCCTTTGGTTTCTACAAGGGTATGTAATAATTCCTTAAGAATAAATGACATGACTGAGCAGAAGATGAACGTTTGAGTCCTAGAATTAACACAGATCGAAAAGCCCCTGTTTTAATCTGAGTAAGCAGAGATTATTTTCTTGGCACCAAATATCTATTATTACTAATTATTATTATTTTATATGAACATTTCTCTTCCCTTTAAAACTTTACTTTTTTTACTAGTAAACTCTGAATAACAGTCACAAAATTAAAACAGGCATTTTTTTTGCAATACAGTGCAATACAGGACTAACAGAATTTCCTTTGTACAAACTTTGTAACACTATATCAATCATCTAACCAAATTACAGGCTTCTTTTGGGTTGTATTCCATTTTAGTGTAAAGAACTCTGACTATCTTAGATGTGATTCTAACCTAAAAAGAATTTCAGACATTATCTTTAATTTAATTCAGAAGAATCCTAAATAGGGGAATTATTATAAATTGAAATACAAATCTAAATAATGTAAGTTGAAGTTATATTTAGGTCTTTAAAAATAGTTTGGGGTAATAATGTGGTTGAAAGAGGATTTGTCCAACCTTGTAACTCTTATAATACGAGCAGACAAACATAATTAAAATGCAAAATCCCAATCAATCAGATAGACATTCGTATCCCTGTAAGCTCCAGCCTCTAACTGGAGTGTCTGGTGGCTTATACTTCTGAGCACGAACCAGAACTGGTGTGGTGTGTGCCTCACCTGGTCCTGTCTCAAACACATCCTCTGAACTCACAAAACCAGAGTCCCCCTCAGCACCAACTCGAACTTTGTATGCTGTTCCTGGCATTAGACCCTTTAACCTAAAGAAGCTTCTAGAACCATTTACAATTTCTTTCCTCCATTCTTCTTTGCCTATGGAAATTTTGCAAAACAACAAACAAACAAAAACAAATTTGAATATTTCAAGGGATCAGAAGTTACTTAATACTTCAAGAAAGTATAATTCTCTTTGAGGTAAAAATAAAAAAAATCTAGGCTGACTGAACAAAACATTTTAGATATTGCAGATCTAATTATTTCAAATAAGTCAGTTAAAATGAGGAGCTAAGTGAAAACATACTCAAAGAGGAACCTATTGGACACTCAGTGTGCACACAGGTACACATATCGCATTGTGGACATTATTCTTTTTAATACAGAGAATACAGCCTTATGTCCTCCTTGGACCATGAATGGCTGAATTTCTCCCAAGATGTTTACTTTAAGAACTATTTTACATTAAGTGGCTTCAATGCACTATGGGAATTGTTTATAAAGAGTCATAAGATGAATCTTTTGATAAATTTTAATGTCTTTAATTGTATCTGACTTATAAAATTTAATATTTTTCAAGAATTGATGAAATCAAGTTATTTCTAAAGGGACTGCTATTTATGAAAATATGTATTTGATTGATAAGGGCCTGAATAAAAAATTGGATGGTGTGCAACATTTTGTCAGACATTGTGCAAACACCCACTGGTCATTCGGGCTGTGATATGTAGGGCACACTGAATTGAGCAAGTGATGGATGGGTTTCCACAAGTCACTGAAAGCTCAAGCTGCCTGCACCTTCCACGACACATGGCTGTGATGTAAACTTGGAATATATAAAACTTGGTAATACAAAACACCAAGACAAAAAAGGATGCTCCCACAGCTTTAATTTTCTTCAATTGCTTGTAAAATGTTGCAGGGTTAATCTGATTTCTACTTCTAGGAATTCCAAATTGGAAAAAAAAGTTGTCTTATTTGTACTTAAAGGTTAGTATTTTATTTACGTGTTGCATATACAGAACCAATTTAAAGTGCTCTGACATGAAAAATAACATGCAGTGAACTTATGCACCCCTGGCTATTGATAACAGAATATTTCTATTTATATATTAAATATGTGGGCTTGTGGTTCATTGTGGTTTTATTGAAATGACTCTGATTATTTTGATGGAATCAAGTTATCTTTCAATTCGGCCATAGTAAATTGTAAACATTATTGGTCTCTTAAAATGTGTCCCCCAAATCAAAAGCAGGGTAATAAATCATATCTTACTGCCTGCTACACCATATTCAACATAAAACTTCACATGCTCTGGTCCCTCATATTTCCAACTGATATTGGCATATGTCTCAGCAGCTGCAGCAGTGAGATTGATCCTGGGATTTACTGCTCGGACTAAATGCACAACAGAAAAACAAAACAAACAATCATATTATAGCGCCATACACACTGATTGAAAGATAAAATGATTGAAATTGTGCAAATAAAATGTTAGAATTTATTGTAAAAAATTTAGTCTCTGCATTTTTACTCTTGTTATAGAAAGATGTACCCAGTTACTAAAATATTATAATAATCAGAGTAGTGATATATTATTAAAGTTATGAGTTCTAGTCCATGAGTTCTGAGTAATGTAAACTGCTTTCCATTAGATCCAGTCCCAGTAAATGTCACTGTCTTCATTTATTGATGGACAATGGTGACTGATGAACTTTCCTGAGAGCAGAAGCCGTTAGAGGATATCAGACTTTCAGGTACCATGGGGCTACTTTTCTGTTTTATTTAGCTTTTCAGTGTAGGTCTTCAGAGAATTTATGTTGGGAGGAAAAGAATATTCTCTAGAATAATGACTTCTAATCTATTGTGAGTCACAACCTGAGAATCTGAGGATCTGATAAATTCCTCATTACAGGATTTCACATCTGTGCATTAGAGGATGTTGGCTAGGATCCTACTGAAGGATATGATGAAGAAACAGGTATAAACATGGTGGTCAAGAAGAAATAAAAGGAGCAGGAACTAGCTGACATGATACATCCCAGACAGTGACAGTCTTGCCTGGCTCTGGCTACACAGCATTTCCTGAAGAGCATCTGAGAGCCTAACCAGCATCTAAAGATCCAAATTATAGAGGCTCCTTGATGTTCTCCATACAACTGACTAAAAACATATCTAAAGTAATTAGAAGTGTTATTTGAACAGCCCGGTGCTAATTCTATCAGCCCCACCCCAATAGCTTCAACTAAAAGTGAGAACTATGTGAGCTAAAATTATAAGATCCTTTTGCTACTCCCAGAGAAATTATATGTGATATGAAATCAGAAAGCACTGAGAAGTTTCCCTGGACTCTGAAATTAATTCTAAAATGTTATATAATTTAGAAGTTCTGTGTTAAATGCTGTCTGATGAAGTATCATATCTTAGGATGAGGTGTATAAAGAGATCTGTGGGGAGGAGAGGGGTTGGAGAGGGATGGTAGAAAGGTGTGCAGTGTACACATGTATGATATTGTTTACAGACAAATTTAATTAATAAGGATATACAAAATTTAAAACGCACATTACAGTTTAAAACGCACTTGACCTGTGAGATATAACTGGGTGACATGCATACTTTGTGCTGTATTGTGTTGATGCAAAAGGAATAGCAGAGGGCAGAGTGATTACTGAATTACCAAAAACAATTTTAATTTTCCCAGATTATCTTCTTAAGTGGATAATGGCAAGGGGTAAAATAAACAAAAAGAACTATATGGTCATGTGTGTGAACTATCACCAGCTGAAACCTAGGGCACACCAATATCTATCTATCTATCTATCTATCTATCTATCTATCTATCTATCTATCTATCTATCCATCTATCTCCAAGACAGGGTTTCTCTGTGTAGCTTTGGCTGTCCTGAACTCACTTTGTAGACCAGGCTGGCCTCTAACTCACAGAGAGAGATCCACCTTCCTCTGCCTCTCTGAGTGCTGGGATTACAGGTGTGTGCCACTGCACCTGGCATAATAAGGTTCTTTTAAAAATTCTGGACTATGAGCTTGGAATTTAGTTGGTAGAGTGCTCATCTAATGTCTATGAAGCCCTAGGAGTGGCCCTAGCATTGCATAAATCCAGGTGCGGTGGCATATTCTTGCAGTCCCAGAACTTGGAGGTAGAAGCAGGAGTGTGAGAAGTCAGGGTTCTTCTTCAGTTACATATCAAGTTCTAGGCCACTCTAGGAGACAAGGCTAGCTTAGGATACATGTGAGCATGTCTTAAAAAATTATTGTGACATCATAAAACTGATGAATTTAATCTTGGAATAACTGTAGTTTCTTGAAAGCAGAACCGTAGCTAAATAACTTTAACCAGATAACATCTAGCTTTTAAAAAAAAGATTTATTTATTTACTATGTACACAATGTTCTGTCTGTATGTACACCTACCTGCCAGAAACGGGCACTAGATCTCATTATAGATGGTTGTGAGTCACTATGTGGTTGCTGGGAATTGAACTCAGGATCTCTGGAAGAGCAGCCAGTGCTCTTAACCTCTGAGCCATCTCTCCAGCCCAACATCTGGCTTTTTAAAGCTTAAAGTTTTAAAAATTTATTTACATGCATTTGTGTGTGTGTGTGTGTGTGTGTGTCTGTGTATGTGTGTGTGTGCACATGTGCATGTGTGTGCTTATATGTGTACATACAACATGGCTCTTGGGTGGTGGTCAGAGAACAAGTTGTGAAAATCGGTTCTCTCTTTCCACCAGACCGGCTCTGGGAATTAAACTCAGGTCATCAGCTTGGTGGCGAGTATCTTTACCAGATGAGTCATCTAGTCGGTCCTGAAACAGTAGTATCTATGAATATCCTTTTCTGCTTTCTTTCTAGCGCTTCTTTTCTGGATTGTTCTGACACTTACATTTTTATTTCCAGCTTTACTAAAATTAAATTGGTGTTCTGAAGATATGTCAGTCCCACTGTGTTCACTGAAGCACTCTTTGTGAATAAGGACAGGGAAACTAAGGAAAGGTCCTTGGACAGATCAGCAGATAACCATAACTGGCGTGCACATGAAGGAATACCACTCAGTCTTACAGAAGAAGAAAACACTATTTGTGAAATAAGCCAGACTCAGAAAGAGTCTAATTACATATGGAATCTAAAGCAGCCAAACAGAAAGATAGGGCAGAAGGGTGACTGCTAGAAGCTAAAGTCAGGTGAGGAAACTTCCAATTTTAAGACAGACGTATTTTAGATCTCTAATGTGTTATTAACTGTACCTAAAGTGTCTTTACTAAAACCTGTATTTATTTTTCTCTTCAATGTCAGATTACAGTTTCTTCAGGTTGTATTGCTTGGCCACTTTTACAACAAGGAGTTCTAACCTTCTTCCTGTTAGCTGTTCTTGCTCCACTTTCTTGCTCACTGAGTGCTTGGCATCCCAGGCAATGAACAAGGGGCTCCCAGTGCTATCTCTGAGCTTGGCTTCTCCAAGGGTTTCCTTGCCTACCTCTTACCACAGTGAACCTTTCTCCGCAGCCACATTCCTAAACTGCAAAACTTCCCTGTTAAAACTCAAGGACTTACCTCTAATTACAGGCTTCTGTGGCTGCTAGAGCTATTCACCTTTGGCCTCCAATCCAGTCACAACTCAAGGGCATCTCTTTTCCACTAGTACATTGCTAGCTATAACATAGCATCTTGTGGGTTTTCTAATCCTGGCCTTTGTTTGTGTTTCTGACCAAGAATTCAACCTTGACTCACTTGTTAGAGAAAATTGGCCTTCAAGACCCAGCACTAAGGTAAGTTCTTTGTGAAGCCTTTCCTGACCTTGCTGGGCCAAATAAATGCTCTCCTTCTTGGTGCTCATGTAGCATTTCATTCATACTACAGGTTTGGCATTGTGCTGCCACATTTCAAGCATGTGAAGGGAAAAGTCTTGTTTTAAACTTTCTTGATTCACAGTGTCATTTAAAAAGTAGTTGTGTTATCTGTGCCAAGGAGACAGCATTACCTGCTACACTGAGTGTTCAAACACATTTGTGTGGGATTTTGTTGCTGTTGTTCAGGTCAAATAAAGGCATGAACTTTAAACTTGAGTTTTTAACTTATTGGATCTTTACTCTAGTAAAAATCATCTAGTGAGAGTCATATCCCAGGGAGGACTCAGCACTGGCTGTGGCCTAGTGGAGCTTTTCCATTCAGTCCTGGGGTGACCATGGTGGCTGCAAATTAAGCAGAGCACAGGCTTACTAATTTCTCCACATTCCTGTATCAACTAATTACTCCACAAATCTGTTCTGGTGTCTGGTGTCAAGCGCATCAGTGTCAAAGTGATGGGACACAGGGATACAGATCTTCTAGCAGTGGGGTGGGGGCAAAGCCCACATCCACTTTGCTAAGGTCTTGTTTCATTTCATTGATAAACCTTCTCAGAGCTAGCTCCCAGAGCCCTGGCCCCTGAGATCATCTAAAGAACCATAGAAATGGAACAAGAACTGCCAAACAAGGTAATTTTTATGTAATTGATGCTTTGAATCAGACAAGGAATGGATCAAAATGGACTCCTAATGATTTATTCACAACTTAATTATTTTCCTTTTTTTTTTTTCTGAGACAGGGCTTCTATGTACAGTCCTGGGCTATCCTGGACTGCCTTTGTAGACTATGCTGGCCTTAAACTCACAGTGATCTGTCTCTGCCTCCCTGAGTGCTGGGATTAAAGTACCATGCTCAGCTTTTTCTCAACTCAATTATACTGAGGAGAGTGTACTAAGCATGTGCAGCTTTGTTTTTCTCTCATAAATTGTCCACAGTTGAATTTGGTAACATCTAATAAAACCCAAAAGTCTTTTAATATAGATTTATTTTCATTTGAGTTTAAAATAGAGTTTACTGTATTGAAATATGACCAGCAAGAGGGAAGCACAGACTTGTGTCACTGGCAGCCCCAGGGAAGCACAAGTTCTTGGCTGCCACTGGCCATGGACACAGACATAAGGCAGCCAGGCTTTCAGTGGAATTTTTGAGTCAAAGTTACATAGCATAGCTTGTTGTACAACTACCCATCCTTTTAGCATATCCCAGAAAAGAGATATGCATATAGAACAGTTACTCTACATACAGTAGAAGCTTAGAACTGCTACAACGTTGTCCTTTTAAGTCTAAAACCACAAATATAATTTAAAATGACTGAAAATGAATATAATTTTGATTCATTTGCTCTAAAATTAATCTTGCAATTCACCAAGGCTCTGGCTATAAGCAGAATTTCTAAGAAAATAGAAAATATATATCAAGTTGAAGCTTACAATAGTGGACGTGGACACACTTAAGACAAGACTCCCAGCTCTCTTGTTCTTTTCCTTCCCTTCTATTTATACTCATCTGGTCTCTTACAGCCCAGGACAAGTCCTGACTGTGGGTATTTCGCTACTTCACTGGGAGACAGTTCTCAGAGGCAAGCACATAGCTGCTTTCTATGTGCCTGGTGGACCAATAGCCAGAAGTCAAATGTGGGGTATTTGCTACAGGTGGAAGAATTATTACAAGTTATCAAACAACATTCTGCAGCAAGTGTTTAGGACACAGAGGGCAGTCAGAACTAAAGGAGAGTAGATGCCATCCACTGAGGATCATTGACTATAGCTCAGGAAGGGGAGACTTGAGCAGTTAGTGGCAAAGACATGATAGAGTGAGACAGCTGAGCAAAGCATGGAGGCTGACTGGAACACTTATGTGCAGAGACTGTCACAGATCAGTTGTGGGGTATCACTAAGCCAAAGCTCAAAAAGATAGTATGTTGTAATGCTATCAAATGGAAGTACCCTATGTCACTCAGGAGTGAGGCCAGGTCAGATGGCAATCAGAAGCTCAGTTGAGCTATTTGTGGAAGGCTGTTTTCATCTAGGATTCAAATTCCTGATATGTGACATGGCCATATGGAAGATCTGTGACAAATCTTCAGTCTTGGTTCCATCTGATCTAACCCAAATTATACTCTTATAATCTAAAATTAGGATTTTCACCAGGGACAAGTCTTGAGAAAAAAAAATTGTGAGTTTAAACATGCGATTTTCTACTCAAAACTACGTAGAAACTAATTTCAAAGCCACTATTGGACCAGATATTCTCCTTTTGGTGGTTCTGAAAATATTTTATTTTCTCATTTTTACCCATGCTGCACTTCTCCACATTTAACATTACAAAGTTCATACAAGTATAAAGTCATGCAGATGAATTATTTTACCTTTGCCTGCACCTACATCAGGCGGAAGAATACCAGCTTGATGAAGGGAAACAGAAACAGGACACTAGATAGTTAGATGTAACACACCCGTGAGCATGTACAGCCATATTTTAAAGAACACTTATTAAAATGCTAAAGCATGCAAGAAGAATGAAGCCTATTACATTAGGCACAGGGACAAAAATGTATTGTTCTTCCCAAACTTACTCCATAGTCAAATATAAACATTACTTAAGGTGCATTATTCTAAGAAGGCTTAGGATGTTTTGACCCATTTTTGGACAGAATTTTTAATTTCATATGCCGTAGAAGCTACTGAAGATAACCAATAACCAGATGAATAGTCCTTAAGAAATTCTACAATTTAGAGACATTCAAAACAAAAAAATCTTTCACAATACTTAAAATACTTTTAGGTTTATCTGTTTTATACATGTGAAGTGTAAATGTTTTGCCTGCATTTATGAATGTGCACTGCATGCATGCTTGGTTCCCACTGAGGTCAGAAAAGGGCATCAGATATCTGGGAACTGTATTTATTGATGGTTGTGAGCCATCCTGTGGATGCTGGGAACTGAACCTGGGTCCTCTGTAAGACAAAAGTGCTCAGAACCACTGATCTATCTCTTTAGCATCATTTCCCCTTTAATCAAAAAAATTTCTGAATGATTTTTTAAAATACTCAATTTAATGGGACATTTTTTGCTTCCTCTAAAGATGACATACCAAAATACAATGTTTCTTTGTTATGCATGAAATAAGTGCATTATTTAATAATTATTTTTAGTTTTTTTCTAAAAAGTCTAAATCAATATATAGACAAGCAAGACTTAGGACCTAGAGCTAGAATTATATATAGTCACATATATGTACATGCGTATAGGCAAAAAGTTACATTGAACCTTGAACTCAAATGTGACCAGTATTGTTCTTTCTTCTTCCTGATCCAATATTTTTAAAAGATTTATTTATTTGTATGTGTGTGTGTCTGCATGAGTTTATGTGCACCATATGCATATCAGGTGCCTGTGGAGACCAGAAGAAAGCATCATATCCAGTGGAACTGGTGTTATAAGCAGTTGTGAGCTACCAAATGGGTACTAGGAACTGAACCTAGGTCCTCTGCAAGAGCAGTAAGTGCTCTTAAGCACCAAGCCATCTTAGCCACCTATTCCAATATTTTAAAATGTAAGTTTAGAAACTTCATATAGGCTTGAAAAATAAACACCCAAATAAATGAACAAAATAACTGATTTTTACCATACATTGGGATGAGATATTACAAATAAATATATTATTAGATAAGATAGATATCCCATGGCAAGAGAAAAAGAAGAGTACATTTTAATGCTTCTAAAAATTCCCTGATACTTGTAATTATACAGATTTTATACATACCCATCTTACCTTCATCCACAGTTGTAACTGCTTCCTCTGTAATCTGACTGCCTGATCCCACAGATGTTTGTGCATAGAAATAAAACTTATACCGAGTGCTGAAATTTAAATTTTTTAAAGTCCAGCGTGTCTTGTTGGCAGGAATTTTTAAATCTACCAGAGGGCCTAGTTCATGTGTGCTGTTAACTGTCAATGAGAAGTGACAAACAGTGGATTCTCCATTAGCTGTCACAGAAATACTATTGCAAATAGTATTATTAATAATATTCAAAAAATAATGTTCCCAGTATACAAGCCTTTTACAATTCTCCTTATTCATTGGCTAACATACTAACGACCATTAAAATTGTAAAATGTAACATATAGTAAACAAATGGCTTACACACTAGGAAAATTTGACAGTTGGATTACAATAGCAGTTTTCATTCTGTCTTTGCTGATGAAGTTCAACATTGTTAATAACTCCAACACTCTTTTAGGAATCCGTGGCCAAAAAAATTCCTCTTCATTTTTTTTTTTTTTGTCACATAATAGTCTCCTAATCTAATGATAGGACCCTCCCTTCAGGCCCACGCTTAATAACCTGTATTATTCAAAAAATAACTTAATTTTCAATAGCACATATAATATTTTTTTATAACAAGTATGCTCTGAAGCTCTTTCTGGACTAATACTTGAAGGTATATATAAAAATAACCAGCTTGCATTTTATAACAGAAGTTCATTTAAAATCCAACTTCTCCTTATCATGGTGACTTACTTGGCTGATATTTTAAGACATACTCAGTCAGGATGCCATTTGGCTGGCTTGGTGGGTCCCATTCCAAAGTGAGAGAGTCCAGTGTAGGATTGACAATTTTCAAAGATGAGGGAGCACTAGGGACTTTTAATGAGAACAAACAGTCAACACAATTTGTAAAGAACATTCCAAAGCAAACACACTTGTCCTATTTACACAATTGATCCAGGTTTTCGTTTCCAGTTTGGGTTTATGATTCAGCTGAAAATACATTAACACAAATCTGTGGCAGAGACTTATTTCTTTTCTTCTCTTATATTTTTTAAAAATCACTTCCATTTAAATTCATTTAAATCATCTTCTCAAAATATATTGTGACTGTCTTTATAGGGACTCAAATAATCTATTTTAAAGTAGGCAGCACTTAACTCAATTTGTAAAAGCAAAGTGGTTGCTAAGGGAGACCATCCTAAGCAGGCCTTTCAGAGGAAGCAGCTGTGTTCTGGTCCATTAAATACTGTTTCCCCAACAAACCAGGTGTGTCCTCATAGTCCCAGTGCCCCGCCTGATGGGCTTTGGGCATAGGCCAGTTTGCCCAAGTGCTGAGATGTGCTTATCCCAAGTGCTCATAGCTTCCCATGATCTGAAAGTAAAAGCAAGAGCCCCACAGGTTGTCTCACTCCCTACCCCAGGATGGAGAAGGCCTAAGGGCTTCAGATTTCCTGCACAGAAGCTGGCAAATTATCAGATGGAATAGCCCCAGTTTTCAACTCCCACCTTTAAGAGGATCAGAGCTGACCTCCATCAGGATGCTGCCTTTTTTCCATATTTCCTAGAAACCAATTAATGACACTGCTATCCCTGCTTCACTCTAGTCAGAAACCAGAGAGCCAATTTGGTGTTCTTGTTTTTACCATCTCCTGGGATGCTAAATCTTGGCAATAAACTCTTTTCTCAACCAGATCCTCTGCTTCTCTCCTCTTCCTGTCCTTTGCCGAGGCCTGTAATCATGCTTGCCACAGGCTTCTAAGATTCAACCTAATTGGTTCTTAATTTTTGGAGGTCATAGGTCTCTTCTCTCTAGAAAAAAATGTGTTGACACGCTGCATTGTGTTGTTGCAGGAAGTTCATGGTAGTCCTTAAATGTCTCAGCAGATCCCACAAGGACTACACAGTCTGCAGGCTAAGGGCTTCTGGCCCACAAATTAGTATTCATGACACCAAAGATCATGCATGATGTCCTTTCCTTTTCTCACACTTGCATTTTGTAGGAGCTGTGTTTTTTGATAGGGTTGTGACAAATCATTTTCCCCACTTTCTTTCGTTCTTTAATCCTGTTTATCTTTTCTAAGCCCCTTGACACATGCGGCCTCAGTGGTGAGAGATTACAGGGGAAAGAGCCCTTCTACCTTAGCACTGGGAGTGCTGCAGTTTCCGGCACCTTGAAGCTTGATGTAAGACTTCTACTCTTCTAAGTCAGGACAACGTTATAAGATACAAGAAATCATGAAAGCGTGTGAGTCAACTCCAACTTACAGAAACATCTTTCTTTTTGAGTATTGTCTTACATCTTCCTTCCAGCACTCACACTTTCCAGAGGAGAGACGCTTCTACTGAAGCTTAGGGAAGTCACAGAATGTGACTCAGCTCAGAAAGCTAATGACTCAAATGCTACATTAACATTGTTTCAGATAGCATGAATGAGGAGAAAAAATTTAAGGGGAAGAAGGCATCTGCTAACAGCATTCTGGATTCTGAAGCATTGTGTGTTGCCACTGGTCATATGTGAGTGACATTTTGCCAGTTTTGTGTGTGCTGTGATTATTTATAATCACGCATTTAACTTCAAGAGTATCCTCTCAATGGAGGGCCTTCCGTAATAGAAAACCTTTCAGGATATGCTGTGTGCTCTTTGATCCCAGGCACACACTCATTCCTTACCTCCCTCTGGAGTATGGAAGCTTTTGTCAGTACTGGCTGGGCCTTCCCCTTTCCCATTGATCGCTCGGACATTGAGTGCATAGTGGCTGTATGGGTGCAGCCCTGGAAGCATGCCGTGAGTCTTGCTGCCCTGGAAGGTGAGGATCTTCTTCTCAGTGTGGCGTCTATTTCTTTTAGATGAGCTCGGTGCCTTCCAGTAATAAATCTGAAGAAGCAAGAACCCCAGTCAGGGAGTCACAAGAAGTCAATATAATTCATGGTTACAAAACCAAAGCACTGGGGCTGGCGAGGGGGCCCAGCAGGGGAAGGTCCTCACTGTGAAAGCCTGTCAACCTGAGTTTGATCCCTGGATCCTACATTTGGACCTCCATACACTCACTGTTAGATATCATCGCCCTCATCTTACTCACTCACCTACTTGTAGGAGTGAACATGCATGTGTATACACACATAATTTTTAAAGCTGAACTGCTGTTTTTCATAAAAATAGTTTGGGGAATTTTACATAATTAGTAAAACTAATGGATACTAGTTCTTACACAAGAGGGACAGAAGCCTACAGATAACAAGGAAGCAAGTCTACATGATGAAGCTGTGATTTATTATTTTAACAAAGTAATAAATGAATGAATTAAAATAGAAATGAAATGAATAGGGCTCACTTAGTTCTTTCAGAAATGAAAAAAAATGGCCATAATGATTTAACTTATATGATTTTTACTGCCCATTGTTTATATACTCTTATAGAGTATATATACTCTTATACATAGCACATCACTTAATTTAATCTTCACCCTAACAAGGCTTTTATCCTGTTTTTGTGGTACCTTGAGCTTATGGGTTACTGAGGATTTCTTCCAAGGCCATATGAACCTATACTGCAAGCCATCTAATTAAAGATACTTTTAAAATGCAGGCACAGGTTTTGGAAAGATAAGTCAAGTGTTGATTAACTTTGGTCAAAAGATGAGAGAATTTTTGTATATTACATTTTCTTGAAGGCTTCCTAGGAATTTAAAGGCATTTTTTTCAAGATAAATTAACATATGCGGGGGTGGTGGTGAAGGGAAAATACAGTACAGTACAAAAATCCTCTAGGGGTCAGTGTCAAATCAAAGTAGTGATGCTAGTGTGGGGTTCTTTATAAATGAATAAAACATCTCTAGGAATCAGTGTTCCCATGTTTTTTTGAAAAAAAAATACTCATAAGAATGACTCAGTTATGGGCCACAGATTCTTAAAGTGTAACCTCATTTATTAGTGCTTTCCATATTATTGTAAAGCTAGGTGCAATTTGTGACATTCTAATTCTTAAAAAAACAGTTTGCCTTATTTCACATGTACTGTTTAGTTAGCAGAATAATTCCAAAAAGGTGAGAAACCTGTGAAACATAGAGAAAACATCATTTTATCACCCTAGATAAGTGATATTTCAAGTCATCTCTATCTGGGTCTTTAGGTGTGGCTGGGGACAGTGAGCAAAGGAACTTGTAAATTCTTAAGTCCGTGAACAGATAATTCAACTTAATGATTCAACCACATAATTTCAACTTAAAATGGTATGCGTAACAAGCGGCCTTCACCACAGCCTTAATACTAATCAAAGAACACAAAGTGTTCCCTTCACCTACCCGGTAGCCTTGTAAGTGTCCTCGGACGCTCTTCAGAGGTACTGGGTCCCAATGTACCTCTGCCAAGGTACTGTTCACCACAGTGACACGCACATTTCCAGGAGCCACCATTGGAACTAGAAACAAGACAAGAAAGCGTGGTAGTGGTGAAAATAGCTGCTATGTTGTATTTCATGCAAAAATGTCACAATATTCAATAACTTTGGCTTGAAGCACACTCCACACTATACTATAGAATCCTATTATAGGGACTGTTGACAGTTAAAGTAGACATTTTATTATTCATTCAACTGTGAAACTATGAAAGCAACTTTAACACTGTGAACTTTCATTTGCCCCACCGACAAGCTCTGCATTTGGAATCTAGAGCTTTACACAAGTCAGGAAAGCGTTCTACCACCAAACAATTTCTTTGGCACTGAATCACTGCTTATCACATAGTAGGCTGTACAAATGAAGAGAAATATGCAAAATGATTGCTACCTCTTCCCTTGCTAACCTAGGTATCTCTGAAAATAGCCTCAGTTTGCACCTTGGTAGGTCTGCCCATATGGGCAAGAGTAGAATGGAACGAACAAGGGACACTTACGGTCTTCTCCAGAATGCCCCATGACTGCAGCTGGCTCTGGAGCAAACCCCACATCATTCAGGGCTTGAACTTTTATCAGGTATGGGACAAAGGTTGGTGTGCCAGAGACAATGTATTTGGATACATTGGCCACAACCACAGACGTCCATTCATCATCACCATCTTTCTGGCGCCAGCTCACTTTGTACTGAAGGCCAGGCCCATTCGATTCAAAACCATTCAAGGGCTATGAAAAAAGCCAAACAGAGTAACTGGACAGCTTTTCACAGGAATAGCAAATACAATTCCTAGACTAAATAAAGCGAATGCTGAAACACTAAAATGCAAGCTATTAAAAACTCACTTCTACAGAGACTATTCTCTTTTTTCACTTGTGACGAGATCAAAAGTTTGTTTGGAACCAAACTTTAAAGGTTGTATATTGTAATTCTAAAGTAGTAAATAACACATGATGAACCTTCCAAACACTGGCTCCATAATATGTGTCAGTGAGTCTTAAAACATTCTAGTTATCTAGATTCACTTTATATATTTCTATTTGTGTCATACCTCATAATTGTTCACCTGGAGATGGAAACTTATGAACTGTTTCTTTATTAAAAAATTATATTTGTCTATTCTATGTACATATAAATATGCACATGAGTATATATGTGTGTGTCTGTGTGCATGCATAGATCTAAAATTTTGACATTATAAAAATAAATGTTTATTTTAATATTGATTTTTCAAATCCAGAATACACAGATAAAGTAAGTAAGAATGATCATAATAATAATTTAACTACTGGGAATAGCTTGATGCATGTCTTCCAAATGGTCTTTCTGATGATGATAACAGCCAGCATTTTTTGAGTACATATTTGAGTGAGGTATTTTTATTATTCCTATCTTATAGATGACTGACAGATACTTGACAACTATCTACAAGTACCAAAGCTCAGATTCTCACCTGTCCATTTTGGCCCCCAGAGATAGGACACTATTTTTTTTCTCTCCTCTTCTGCTTCATTTGGCTGCTGTGAATTGAGCCAGGATTCTCTGGAAGAGCAGTCAGTACTCTTAACCTCTGAGCTATCTCTCCAGCTCAAAGGGCTTTTTTTTTTTTCTCCTAGACAGGGTTTTTCTGTGTAAGAGCCCTGATTATCTTGGAACTCACTATGTAGACCAGGCTGACCTTGAACTCAAGCACATGAACTATTTGGCATTTTCCTCCATCATGCTAAGTTCAGCTTAGTTAAAACTGACCTAATCCATATGTGAAAAGGTGATCAATTATTGTCATAAAAAGGAGTAACAGTAAAAGAGCAGTTTTTTACCAGGAAGATTGATAGCAATCAAATGTTTAATATATTTTGTTGAGTGTGGCACATTTTCAGACCTCCTACGAAATCGATGTATTTCTATACAGGACAACTGCAAATATATAATAATTTTTTAACATACATAGTCTTTAAGGAATTGCACTTCTAGCAATTGAATTTGAGCAAATGTGCTTACCCATGTAGTGTGAAGACACATGCAAAAGAATCCACCTTGCTGCATGATTTTCAGTTGAAGCAACCTATTTACAAACAAGCTAAATGCTGGGATTAAAGGAATGTGCCACCATGCCCAACTTTTAGATAGAAAATTTTAATTTACTATATAACATTGACGCCTAAATAAAGATAAGTATTTTTTTCCCACAATGAGTAAAAAGTAGTGTTAACACAAATATTATTCTAAAATGAACTTTTTTGTTCAGTCTAAAAATGCTGAGGAAAAAAAAAAAAAAGGCTCTGTGGCTCACCTTCCATGTAATCACCAAGTTGTCAGGCTCTGTTCCTAGTCCTTCCACAGCTGTGGGATTCTGATCTGGTTCTGGAAATGAAGTAGTCCCGCACGAGTAAGCTTCGGTTCTCTGAGAGGCATAGAAACCTCTTCTGTTTTAGGTCAGGCCCCTGTGTTCTAGCCTTACCTGCGGCTTCTGTAAGATACTGCTCAGAGGCCTCGCTGGGCACACTCCTCCCAATGCTGTTCTCCGCCATGACTCGGAAGGAGTAGTTCACATATGGAGACAGCTTCAGTTGGGCTGTAGTCTGAGTTCCAGAAACTTCAGCCTGGTGGTGCCATAATCCTGCCTCATGCATTGCATCTTCATATTCAATGATGAATCCTAGTCACAACACCACACATACCATAAACCAAAGATAGTGAGTTTAGTCAGTATAAGGACAGGTTGCCAGAGATAACTCATGGCAAGCAAGAGTAGCAAGACACAAGTGATTTTTCAGAAAAAAAAAAAATCTGTTAGGATATTCTGAGTTCAATATTTAAGCACATGAACTATTTGGCATTTCCCCCCTATCATGCTAAGTTCAACTTTGTTAAAACTGACCTAATACATATGTGAAAAGGTGATCAATTATTGTCATAAAAAGGAGTAACAGTAAAAGAGCAGTTTTTTACCAGGAAGATTGATAGCAATCAAATGTTTAATATATTTTGTTGAGTGTGGCACATTTTCAGACCTCCTACGAAATCGATGTATTTCTATACAGGACAACTGCAAATATATAATAATTTTTTAACATACATAGTCTTTAAGGAATTGCACTTCTAGCAATTGAATTTGAGCAAATGTGCTTACCCATGTAGTGTGAAGACACATGCAAAAGAATCCACCTTGCTGCATGATTTTCAGTTGAAGCAACCTATTTACAAACAAGCTAAATGCTTGCCAGTGTGGCATACGTAGCAAAATATGGTACACACACACACTGTGGAACATTCTGTATCTGTTATCAAGGAGGATGTTCTTTAAGTGTATCCTCACATAAAACTGAGCAGGATACAGCAGAGTACATGCTTGGTGCTACATCTCTTTAACAATACAAAGACTGGCTAGATCATACACACTGGATTTCCTGTTAGAAGGTACACACTGGTTAATAGTGGTGTGGCCAGGGAAGCTTGCAGTCACGAGAGGGAGGAAGACATACCTTTCAGGTTCTTTCTCTATTGCTAGAATGTTGTGGTCTGCCATGTTTTACCTTTGCAAAAAATTAGGTATCACGCCTGAATGAAATTGGCTTGAGGTACTTTATATTAGGTTACTGTATCATAGTGTGATAATGCCATGCCTCTGCAAAGCATTTCTGTATATATCTTAGTGCTGTGGTTCCTTCTAAACGCATGTGGGAGACACCCCCTGCCCTGCTAAAACATAAATAAATAAGTCAATAAAACTGCCTTTCAAAAAGACAGGTAACCATTTGTGTGTGTGTTTGCTCCACAGATGTGGAGCAACATAGCTGTGATTTTGGAATAATCTGGAAGGTACTTGGCCTTCCTGAAGCCTCCACTTAAAAGTAACAATATATTTCAGACTTATGACTGTGTCTACTCTTTTGGGTATCTCTTTAGCTTTAACATCAAGCCTTGAAGCCTATCATTCTGATTTAACAAATGTTTTTGTATCCAAATGCCTTGGTTTCTCATCTGATTTTATTCCCTCCACTGATGCCTTAAAGTGAGGAGCTAACACTGTTGAATATGTCATTTTGTATCAAAGGAAAACAGGAAGAAAAGCACTTATGCTGGAACTTAAGGACCTATTGTGTATAAGCAGTTTTATTATAAACGATGGTCCTGTAATAGAGCACCTGGGTCATTTTCCCCAAGTTTAGACTGGCCTTTCAGTATCTCCCAAAAGCAGTGGCTTAAATGAATGACTTACAAGATACACCTATCTACTGTGTTTGTCCTGGGTAGTTTTATGTCAACTTGAGATAATCTAGGGCCATCAGAGAGGAGGGAGCCTCAACTGAGAAAAGGCCCCCATGAGATTGGGCTATAGGCAAACATGTAGTGCATTTTCTTAATTAGTGACTGATTGTGGATGGTAACAATCCCATTGTGGATAGGTTGGTGGTCCTGGTTTCTATAAGAGAGTGAGCTGAGAAAGGCATGAGGAGCAAGCTAGCAAGCAGCACCCCTCCATGCTCTCTGCATCAGCTCATGCCTCCAGGCCCCTGCCCTGCTTGAGTTCTGACCTGTCTTCCTCCACTGATAAACAGTGATGTGGAAGTGTAAGCCAAAAATCTCTTCCCTCCCCAAGTTGCTTTTAGTTACAGTGCTTTAATGCAGCAATCATAACCCTAGCTAGGACAGTGGCAGATATGTAAGGTGATTTTTATAGATCTTAAACATAAATGATAGTGTGTTTGCTTAAGAACATTTTCAGGAATTAATTAGACATACCAGAAGCTATAACCAGGAATGGCTCCATCTCTGAAGTTCATCATACTTTGGTTCTAACCAAAGTATCTTTGATTAGTGATGATGAGAACAACAGTAAATGCATTTGTAAGGAATTACAGCAGTGCATCATAAAATTGTTACAGGTATTGCTTCAGGAATGGCCATTAGGTTTACCAGCCATAAAACAAAAAACACTACATACTTGTAATGGGGCTATTGTTGTCATCGCCTGGGGTCCATGTCAGCTGAACACTTTTGTCAAGTTGATTGGTCAATTCTAAATCAAAGGGAGGATTCGGGACATCTGTGGAGCAAACACACACACAAATGGTTACCTGTCTTTTTGAAAGGCAGTTTTATTGTGTTTGTGATGCTATATACAGAGGGACACCTTAGAGACACATCACTCTTAGTGGTCAGTGAGCATGCAATGGAAATGAAACAGACACAACTGAGGTTGCTGAGAACACTGCACAGACCAATACATCAAGGAGCTCTGCTTATTTGCTTTTCAAGACCATGGTTTGCCAAATCCACTTAAGCAGAGCATAAGGGTCTTCAGCATGCTCAGTACATGTCCTCTCATGAGCAGAAACGAGCACAGGCAGAAATAACATTAAAGCTTCATTTCCAACAACACAATGGAAACAGAATAGTCAAGGCTAAGAGACAAATGCAGGCAAGTGACATGTGCTGTTCAGAGGATTCTCAGGGTTTTGAGACAAATGATCACTGCATCTGGAAGCTCCTGAGGATTGTGTTGATGGGTGGGGAGCTCTCCGAGTACATAGGCATGCTCTCTCTGGGACAGAGGTTAGAACAAAGGTCACAGAGAAGCAAGGGTGCTTCCTGAAAATGGTGCTTGTGAAGCTAACTCCCTTTAAAAAAATTAACTTCTTTATAGAGGTGGCTCTGACTTCTGGGGGACCACAATCCTCTGGTCCCTTTTTCATCAGTAAGGCAGTATTAAGTGTCCACAGAGGGCAGGTTTTAAAAAGAATAAGTGATTCTATGTAAAATCTAGCTGAGATTATGCCACAAAAATTTGTGTGCTGAAAAAAGATGAGTTTTCTAAACAAAAATGTTTCTAGAGATAATTTCTGATTATTTTACAGACTCAGAAAAATAACATAACATTGTCAGATCCTTTCTTTTGTTAATTCACTGGTGACTTTTCTTTTAACACAAAATGGGAAGGTTGCTCAGACATAAAAGTCAAATTTTCTGAACACCATGTTTTACCCTAGGTGTACATTGCTTGGAAATGAAATCTCAAAACAATATAATATTTCCTTGTGTTTATCACTATTAATAGTGTGTTATATTCATTTATGAATGTGTACATGCATGTAGGAATGCACACATTCATGTGTGAGAACATAGAGGATAGAGGTTGACTTCTTCTAGGTGGCAGGCTAGTGAGCTTCTGTGATCTGCCCGTTTCTGTCCCCCAACACTGAAGTTACAGGCATGGACTGCCATGTTTAGCTTATGTATGGATACTGGAGATTTGAACTCCTTTCATTTTGCTTTCACTCTTATCTACTGAGCCATCTCTCTAGTTCCTAAACAAATCTTAGTAGACAACTAAAATCGAACTTTCAGAATGATTCTAAGAAATATCTTTTTTTTCTGTAAAATACGGGTGAGAAATTGTTATATATGATTTATGCTACCATATAAGAAGAGATTTTTATAAGATAGAATAATTTTATAATAGCAAATAAAATATTTAGAGACAACTGGAAATACAATGATCAAAATAGTCTAACCTTACAGTATACTATAAAGTTATAAGAAATATTTGACTATGGTAAATGAAGCCCATAATAACTGGAAGCCATTTTCTTTAAAGAAATGCAATGATGTGACAGAGATAAGAAAGCAATGTCTGCAAATGTGAAAATGGAAAGAGAAGACTCATTAGTTTACCGTAAATGGGGGCTGGAGTTGGAGTAGGAGCTAGAAAGAACATTAATATAAAGGATTTTAATCAGAATTAGTCATAGAAACATAGAAGAAGACAAAAGCAATGCAATATTATGGGTTTTTTTTAAAAATGGAGTTCTCTATTCAGCTGTAAGGTGTGGCATTGACAAATGGGACAGTGACAATTTAGGAATTCTAGATCAGAGGTTATTTTTCTCAGTTTTTGTTTGTTTTAAATTTTTATTTTTTAAATATTAGTTACAGTTTATTAATTTTGTATCCCAGCTGTATCCTGCTCCTTCATTCCCTCCTAAGCCACCCCCCCTCCCTCATCTCCTCCCTGCCCCTTTCCAAGTCCATTGATAGGAGAGGTCCTCCTTCCCTTTCATCTGACCCTAGCTTATCAGGTCTCTTCAGGCCTGGCTGCAAAGTCCTCCTCTGTGGCCTAGCAGAGCTGCTCCTCCCTCAGGTGGTGGGGGGGATGGAGGTCAAAGAGCCAGCCATTGAGTTCATGTCAGAAACAGTGTTCCTTACTAGGGAACACACTTGGATACTGAGCTACCATGGGCTACATCTGAGCAGGGGTTCTAGGTTATATCCATACATAGTCCTTGGTTGGAGTTACAGTCTCATAAAAGACTTCTGTGCCCTGATATATTTGGTCTTTGTGGCACTCCTGTCTTATCCAGGTCATACTAACTCCCCCTTCTTCTTTCATATGATTTGTCTTGAAAAGACAAATGGGATGGACATCGGATGTAGGAGAAAACAAGTAACAGGACAGGAGCCTAACACTGAGGGCCTCTGAAAGTCTCTACCTAGCAGCATATCAAAGCAGATACTGAGACTCATAACCAAACCTTTGGCAGAGTGCAGGGAATCATATATTTGTTTGTTTTTATATATGCACATATACCATTTTGTCACAGTATATATTATCTATACAGAGCATAATTATATACAAATTGTCTTCTGGAAGGCATCTCTGGAAGAAAAGAAACACCCTTGGAGTTAGGAAACTTGAACAAATATTCAATATCTAGACTTTTCTTTCCCACCTAATACAGAGAACCTGACTGTGCTGTATTTGTTCTTGTTCTTACCAACAACCCTGAGCACAGCACTGGCAGAAACACTGTCCAGTGTGGTGTTGGCTGCACATGTGTAGATCCCACCATCACCATCGCTTACATCAGTTACCACCAGGTGATCCTTGTCAATAGAGAACCTGTAAACAGAGCACATGTAGAACAGCTGAATGACAACTACTAGAGACTGCTGAGGACTGGCTTCCCAGCAGACAAGAGTTTCTGTAATTTACTAAAGGAGAAAGATAGTAAACACTTTAGCAATTAGAGTGAACCCCTCTATATCAATTTAATAATTAATAAACCTGAAAAACATTTGGGTTAGGAGGGATAATAACTCTAATAATTTTGGTAAGGCGTATGTAGAATCTCAGTAGATTCTGCAGCAACTCTTCTGAGATGAGGCCAAAAATCACCTGGTATCCCATAACTGTGTATTGTTACTGCATGCCAATTAAACATTTTTAATTGATAAAGTTACTGCTGTCATCCTGAGGTGAGAGAGGTAGCTCCATATACACCCCCACTAGAGTGCTTCACTCAGGCTTCTGTGCTTATTTTGTTCAGCTCAATTTCCATCTGAGTACATATTTTTAAAAGAAGTTAATATTTGCTGTAAATTTTTTGTCCTTTCCACCCCCCATGTATAAAGCCCCATAGCAGAAACTTTATTAAAAGTATTGGTATATTTCTCATCACTGTATCATCAGTCTCCAGTAAGACTTTTCTAGAAGTTTTTTGCATAAGGCATGCAGGATTCATGTATGATTCCAATGAGGCTGTACACATTGTAAATTGTCTTTCAAATAATTTCAAGCCAAACCTCAGTTGATCTAACCCAGTGGTTATTTCTTCATGTTCTCTGCTCTTTACCATCTCAGATATCACATATTAACCAGATGACCTTACCTGGAAGGCTCCCTTTGGGCTCATGGAGCAAAAGGCTAGAAAGTTATTGTGGGTCTTTAGCAAGCAATAGGATACCATTTAGTCATCCCAGGCTTAGGTAAGCAGCAAAGTACAGAAACCATCTTTATCAGAATACAACACTCCCAGCAGTTGGTATCACTTGCTGTTGCTGTAATGGCTAAAATGACAAATGTAGCTGTCTTTACTAGGTCAACTTGAGGGCCTCAGGTAGAAAATGCCACACTCTTTCTTCTATTCTAAGCTACAGGACTAAATGTGCCCCTTTAAATACTTTACTTAAATTTGATTTTCTTTTCCTTCTGTAGGTGTTAAAATTTTAAAAAGAAATTCAGTAAAATTCAAAGCTAGTACTCTTTAAAATACTGGCAGAGTTGGGTGAATTCCTGATTCAGAGATTGGATTTCTGCTGCTTATGTGTATTGAAGAAAACATCTGTTGAGACTTCACCATTCAAATTATACAACCATAGATGTTGCCCAAATCTGGAGGGCTTTTTACGCCCCAAATTACACAGAAGCACAGCACACAAAGACCAACATTCTCAAGCTTGTATTTCAAACCCTTTTAGTTCTAAATCTTTTGCAGTAAGAAAAAAATGCTTATCTCGTAATTCTGCAGATAGCTGACTTTATACACTGAAAACACGGTGTCACAAGAACAGTGTAAAGAGAGAAGGAAGAGGGAAGAAAGCATCTTGAAATACCTTTCATCATTGGGCAGCTCTCCATTGTCCTTTAGCCACATGATGGTGGGGATTAAGGTATGGTCATGTTTCACTTTGCATTCGAAGGATACTTTGCTCCCCCTCTGCACGACCGCATATTCGGGTTGTTTAATGATTCTTGTTGGATCTAAATTTTAAAGTCATTGTTACCCATTTGGCAAAGCTGGAGAACTTTCTCTGTGTCATATAATACTTAAAAAAGCTCATCAACTCTGTCTTACCTTTTATTTCCAAGTGAACTTCATTCTTTGCCATCCCTAATTTGTTCCTTGCGACACATGTATAGGTCCCTGTACTATCCTTTTGGGCCACAGGAATTTCTAGTGTTCCATTATCATGTAAAACATAAATGTCTTCGTGAAGAGCGCTTCCCTTCGTTCCTTTAAACCTTCATTACAAAAGTTACCAGAATAAGAATAAAACACCATGACAGAATGTGGGCTGCAGCAAAGGTCAAGGTCAAAGACAATTTGAATGACTACAGAGATTAGATTTCTGCTTATTTGTAAAGTGGGGAAACATTACATCAGTAAAATATTGCCTTATTTTCAGATTGTAAACATACTGTCATCTAAGGATGGAAGAAAATAAAATTATTTGAAAAATAAATGCTATTTGCAAATAAAAAAATCAGTTGATATTTCACTTTTCAAGTTAAAAAAGCACAAACATTGTTGAAAACCTGAAGGGTTTTCCATAAGCACTTCTTCTGACACCTCAGAGGAAAATGCAAAGAAAGCACATAAGACAGGAGAGTGCAAAAATAAGTGGAGTTTACAGAATTAGAGTAACAAAATAGAATGGGTTGTAATTTTCTTGAGACACATAATTGAATATTTTATCCTTAAGTAGATGACAAAATTGGCAAAAACAAGATTATCTTTTTATTACAATTTTCTCCCATATGTAAGATGAAAATTTAAAGACATTTTAATTTCAGGGCTGAGGATTATATTCCAAAGCACAACTAGCAAAAGTTCAGGCAATGGAAAGAAAACACAAATGTGAGGTGAGGTGAAGGAAGTGGAGGCAGATGAAAAAGGCCAGGACAAAGTCAATTTGAGTTAAGTGTTGATCTCAACCACTTTCACTAGAATGTATGTATGTGTTCATGTTTCTCTTCTTTGCAGTTAATGTTGGGCCTGGAGAGACAATCCTTTAATCCTAAATCTGCCATCTCTCTCATCTCAGTAGCTGGTTATCAATACATATCTGTTCCAATTGTTCCTAACACATTCTCAGCAGCTGCCCATCCCTCCTTGTTCTATCTCTTTTATTTATTTATTTTAATTTTTATTTTTTATTAATTACACTTTATTCACTTTGTATTCCCCCATAAGCCCCTCTCTCCTCCCCTCCTGATCCCTCCTCCTCCCCTCCCTCCCTCCCCCCCTTCTTCACGCATGCCCCTCCCCAAGTCCACTGATAGGGGTGGTCCTCCTCTCCTTCCTTCTGATCTTAGTCTATCAGATCTCATCAGGAGTGGCTGCATTGTCATCTTCTCTTTTAAAGCAAGCAAACTAGCAGCAACTGGTGGACTCCTACCAGGAATGGTATGTGAAACTGGATAGGCAGAAAGGAGGTTAGGAACACACAACCTCTCCTCCAACTCTATGCACTTTTTTATTTTAGATTTATTTTGTTATTTCATGTAAATGACCATTTTGCCTGGTTATGTGTATGTGTACTGCATGCATGCCTGATGCCCAAGGAGGTCAGAAATGGCATAGAAGCCCCTGGGACTGGAGTTACAGGAAGTGGGGAGACACTATGTGGATGCTGGACGTCAAACCTAGGTCCTCTGCAAGAGCAACAAGTGTTCTTAACCACTGAGCCAACTCTTGGTCCCTGACCCCGTGATTTTTTTTATTGTCAATAACATGTTTCCTAACCTGTCCTTTAGTCACTATTCAGAAAGTTCTATGCAGTTATCCATGGCATTGTAAAATATGGCAGTCCCAAATCTTAAAAATAATTCATAGTCAGTTTTGTAGTTAATAGAGCATTCAATTCTAGTAGTATACTTGTTACATATGTGAAAGTATTTATTATAATACTTTAATAAATGCTTGAGGAAGAGTAAATGAATTCAGTAACTAAGAATACAATAGATTGTGTATTGCACTTTTCCTATTAAAAACAAACAGGAAAAGTGCAATACAAAAACAGGACTAAAACCAGACATAGATAGAATCAAGGATCAAAAACCAAATAGAGCCATTACTTACCACTCAATCGTAGGCAGAGGAGACCCAAAGAAGGCACAATCTAGCAAAGCAGGCCTGTTTGCAATGATCTGGTACAACGTGTTTGGAGATGTGAGAATCCGAGGCGGTTCAGCTAACGTATTTTTAAAAGGTAAGTAAATAACTAGGCATATTTTAGGCTTACAGTGTATTTATCATATTTTGTTTTGAGGTCATTAGAGTTTGTGATAAAGTACAACTAACATGATTTTCCCGCATATGTTCTGTATTTGTGTCATCAGTATAGTCACTCAACATAGAATAAATACCTCCTACTTCATGCTCAACATGATACTAGGGCATTATTCAATTACTGATTTACTTCTCTGTACTCTTCTATGCTGTTTAATTATTGATTTGGTTTTGTGTCTCTTATGACACTGAGTATCTTGTAGTGAAAGCAACTGTTTAATCATTTTAGTAACAGCACAGTATCTGGCAGGAAAATATGCCATTGCTGAATGACTGACCCATCATCCCTCAAGTGAGTAGGAACATTAGGACATAAAGAAGGAATTAAAAAGCAGAGAGGAAAGTGTGGTTTTGAGAAGTGGGAGGACACTAAAGAAATCCTCTTATTGCCAAGGAAGCAACAGCATGAAGAGATAAACCATAGACTAGGAGAAGATATTTGCTCATTATATGCCTGATATAAGACCAGTACACAGAATCATAAGAAACTCAAAAGTCCCAGAAAACAAACTGATTTTTAAAATGGACAAACGACCCAAATACACATTTCTCACAAAAAGACACATAAATTTCCAACAGAGATGTGAAAAAATGTTCACTATCAGTAATTACAAAGAGAAACACAAACTTCAACCACAGTGATGTATCACTTGGTGACTATTAGAATGCCTGTTTTCAAATAGACATATAAATGCTGTCTTTCAGCCTTATAAAGGAAGAGGACCTGGGACTTGAGAGATAACTCAGCAGTTAAGAGCACTTGCTCTTCCAGAGGACCCAAGTTCAGTTCCCAGCGCCCATGTCAGGGGTTCACAACTCCAGATCCAAGAGATTAGATGCCTTCTTATGGCCTCTGCAGATTAACCTGCACATATGGCAGATACTCACATAGACACACAGAAAAAAACATAAATAAAAATTTTAAAAAAGGGAAGAGGATTCTGTATTTGTGTTACTGATGAAATCTGAAAAACATTGTGTGAAATGAAACAAGCCAGACTCAGAGTAATATATATTGTATTGAACTTACAGAAATATAAAACCTGAAGATGTTGAATTAATAGAAGTAAACTATAAAAGGAAATCCAGAAGTCAAAACTGTTTCCTCAACATCTACCAACAACTCAGCTGCTGGACTTCATGGGGATGAAGGGCAATGCCAAATCTTGGTTGGCTTTCTTAAGTTAGTTTTTTGGAAAAGAAACATACTATTTAAAATAATTCAAGTATAATTCTTGTTTACCACAAGAATAATTCTTACATAAAAATTTTAAATGTAGCTTTGGGTAATTTTACCCAAAATGAGAGATGTAGTGTTCACAGAGCCAACCATTTCATAATATGCTTGAATACTTCATAGTTTCCTACAGTTCTTTGCATATATCGTTACACATGAAACAATCTATATCTATGATTTGGATAAGAGTCAAGCATTATAATTAAGCATTTATTTTTTTATGTTATAATTGTAAATTTGTGTTTGAACTTGTCAGTGCTAAATGAAAAAGGCTCCAAAGGCTCATATATTTGAATGCTTGGTCTGCAAATGGTAAAACTGTTTGGGAAGGATTAGGAGGTGTGGTCTTGTTGGAGAAGGTGTGTCACTAGGGGGGATTTGAGTTTTCAAAAGCCCATACAATGCCAGTTGACTCTCTGCCACTCTCTCTGTGTCTCTCTACCTCTCTGCCTGTCCTGCAGTTGTTATCTCAACACGCAAACTCTCGGCTAGCTCTCTAGCATCACACCTATCTGCTGCCACGCTGCCCATCATGATGGTCTTGGGTTTCACTAGTCTTTGGAACTGTGGGTCTTAAATTGAAAGCGTTTTTTTATATGTTGACTAGGTCATGGTGATTTGTCACAGCAATAGAATAGTGACTAAAAAATGTCTAAGGATGGAAGAGCAGATATACTTATTGCTAATGAGAACAAACACTATTTTCCTTTTGAAGTCTAATCTTTTAACAGTCTAACCACCAGGGAACTGTATAGCTCATTTGATTATTTCTGCAGCAAAGAATCTGCCATATAAAAACTATGAAGAAACTGAAAGAACAGACAAAAATCTCCCTTAAGACAAGACTAATATCCTATCTACCTTTGTATATTCATTGTAGCTTGAAACACTATGCATTGCAGGTAGCAAAAACATAATGCATTTTTGATGAATGAGTAGAAAACAACAGCAGTCATTAATTTAACTTTCCATGTTTTCAATAAAGGGCAAGCTTACCGAGCACATTTACAAATGCATTTGCTAGTAAATATCCATATTCATTAGAGGCATTGCACTGATAAACCGCACTTGATCTTTCTTGAACATTTGAAAAAATAATGGTATCGCCATCTATTTTTCTGCTGGGGTCATCAGGAGCAACTGTTTGGATGTAAAAACAGAAAAAAAATGTTCTTGCTGCTTAAGAGATATATAATAAATATGCAAATCTTGAGCTCTATATTACAGAATGAGAAGAAAATCCAGGCAGATCTAGGTATAGTCATCAGTAAAAGAAAAAAGAATCTAGGCAGAGTTTAGTTATTACACATAAGCATGCAAACATGCACAATGTTCATTTAGCTTTGAATGAATGGGTTGCTCTTTAACAGTAAGAACTGCTTTGAGAGATGCAGAAAAGCAAGCCCAAGTTGGGCAAGAATAGTAAATTCAGGGAAACACAATCATGTTTATATTTTAAAAAACAAAGAAAGAAAGAAAGAAAGAAAGAAAGAAAAAAGCCCTGCTATTTAAAAGTGGGAAGGTTGATTATCCCAAGGAAAGAGGCACAGCTTATCAGCAAAGGCAGAAATGAGCTGGCTTGCTTGAACCTGCCCCCTTGAGCATGTAGTCTTAAAATAAATAGATAAATAAGTAAAGCTATGCACAGGGAACATGCTGCCAGGAACATGAAGATATCTGTTTTCTTGTTGTGCACACACACATCTGAAGCTGACGGAGAAGTCATTTGTATAAAATTTCTCTTAAGGACCTTTAAGGACCCTTTTCAGCTAAATCCCTTAAATACTTTAAACATGTTAAAACTAGGACTGATTCATGCTGAACTTGGATGAAACTGGCTGGATAAGACAGGATTTAGTCCAAAGCAAGGCAAATGCTGTGGAAGTGCTGTGCTGTGCTATGATGCACAAATTTCTTTTGCTGAATGCTGAACTCTAGACCATGACCCCACATCATTTTAAGAGTACATTGCCCCAGCATGCTGATCAGAGTCAAGGTAAATAACAGTACCTCTCCCTCTGAAACTGTACATGGCAACCATAAGAGGACTTTACTTCCATTCTAAACACATTTTCTTTTTATGGTGACTAGAAAAGGTTGTGTATCAAACACATATCCATCACTGTATTGAGAATCCATTATCACTTTGAAATAAAAGTATCAGGACACCTCTGGTGAGTTAATAATAACTCACTTTAATAATAATAATATTTAAAAAAAAGTCCAGCTACAGTTAGTTACTTTTGTTTTACATACCTAAGTATCGTGCTCATTCATTTTGTAATAGTTTCTTACTGCTACAATTTAGCACAAATCTAGTATTGTCAAACATTAAATTCACTATCTTTTGTTTCTCCAGGTTGGAAGCATGACAAGAACACCACTGAGCTAAAGTCAATGTCTCAGAAAAGGCAATTTCTTCATGTTACATAGGAATACACTTCTTTGTTCCTTCTGCTCTGTAGAGGATTCCTAATTTCTTAGCCCATATTCTCTTTTTTCCCATTGCCATCAAAGCTATCAGTGTCATTTTTTTTCTATTCATTCTTCCATAGTCACATTTCTCCCTGACCACAGCTAGGAGAGGGTTCATGTGATAAAACTGGGCTCCAAGTACATACTTCAGAATCAGAAAGCTCCTAACCACATGTACAAAGCCCTGCTTTGCTAAGTAAGGTGACAAGTTTACAGGCTCCAGGGATTAGGATGCAGACATTTTTGCAAGCCATTATTTTGACAATTGCACATTCCAACCATTACACTTTTATCCCAGCAGTGTTTTAGATGTTTCAGATGAAAATATTCTAAAAATGTATCATGAATTGAACTAGAGGACAAATTCTTACCCTCCAAGAATTATTAAAACTTCAACTTGTAAGCTAGCTCTCAGGGAATAATTGATGCCAATATTCCTGAGAAAGCATAATAGATAGTCTTAAAAATAAGTGTGTGTGTGTTGGGGGGGACAAGATGGCGGCGCCAGGAGAACACTGCATCTGAGGAGCAAGACAACATTTTCCATACAGCAACCAAGAGACTAAACTCTGGGCCCTAAAACAACAGCGATCGTGTTTCCCAGGTGAGAGGAAACTCCACGGTGTGGGAATCAGTCGGGTCCACTCTCAGGTCACCCAGCCAGAACACGGAAGAGATCCCAGGTCGCACAGGCACTAGGTCGCCAGACCAGAGTAACATGCCTGTGTGTCCTGATCACCTTCCCAGGCTGAAAGGTGGTCACAAAAACACCAGAGACTGGGAATCCCAGTCACTAGAAAAACCCACAGGGAATGAAGGAAACGGAACTGACCTCAGATCACCCAGTCTTTCCCTGGGTGGAAAAGATCCCACAGAATGGCGGGTTCATGCCGCCAGCACTGAACTGGGCTCCAGCTGCGAGCACAGAGACTTGCTGCACACCCAGCTCTCTGGCACAGACAGAACTGTGCGCCCCAGGGCACCAGAGACTGAGAGTCCCTGTCAGGAGAAAACTCCACAGGGAAGGAAGCAAACAGGGACGGACTTAGGTCACCCAGTATATCCCTGGAAAAGGTCCCACAGACCAGCGTGCCTAGCAACCCAGGGACCTGCTGTGCACCAGCTAGCCTGTTGTGCCCATGAGAGCGGTACTCACTCACCTGCCACAGATTACCGCTTGGGTATTGGGGCATAGAGCTCCAACCTCAGACATACGGAAGCCTGGGATCCCCGAGATCAACCCCCAGATACTGCTTCAAGGGGCAACCATTTATCCCTAAAAATCTGACCAAACCACGGGACACCCAGGTTACTGCAGCAGTTCACTAAATTTACAGCAAGAAACCCAGAAGAAGGGCAGCTGTCTCCAGGATTTCTCCAGGTGAGAGGAGAGCCCTCTCAACTAACAAGGACCACAGTTACTACTCAGATCTGTATGCCTGAGATGAGCTGTGGCAACTCCTGAAAAACACCAGCCATTCAGTGACCATACCAAAAAGCTGAGGAGGCTTCCATCAGGAAAAAACATCTTCCTGCCAAGGGAATTTTCTCCACCACAGGATTCCAAGAACCACCAGAAACTAACACCCAACACCTAAGATAGCCCAATGGGTAGAGGCCAGCATAAAAGCTCAACCAACAAAAGACAGAGCAATATGGCATCTCCAGAACACAGTTATCCAGGGACAAGTAGCCGTGGACACCTCACCATAATTAAAATTCAAGAAGATGACCTAACATCTATGCTTATGAAGAAGTTAATAGAGGAAAGAAATAAAATGTGTAAAGAACTAGAGGAAGATAAAGTCAAACAGATTATGGCCATCTGTAAAGAAATACAGGAAGTGGCAGCCAAACAGTTTGTGGCCTTTAGAGAGGAAATGCTTAAATCACTGAATGAAATAAAAGAAACAGAGGTTGGTTCAAACAAACAGCTGAAAGAAGTGATGGAAAAACAGGAAAATATAGTCAGACAGGTGAAGGAAATCAACAAAATGGCTCAAGACCTGAAGATAGAATTGGAAAAATTAAAGAAAACACAAATGGAGGAAACTGTGGAGAGAAAGAACTTAGGGAAGAAAACAGGAACTACAGAGGTTAGCATAACCAATAGACTACAAGAGATGGAAGAAAGAATCTCAAGTGTGGAAGATGCAAGGGAAGAAATTGATGTATCCATCAAAGAAAATGTTAAATCTAAAAAATCCCTGACACAGACCATCCAAGAAATTCAAGACAACATAAAAAAACAAAACCTAAGAATAATAGGAACGGACAAAAAAGAATTTTCCCTGCTCCAAGGCCCAGAAAATATTTTCAACAAAATCATTGAAGAAAATTTCCCCAACTTAAAGGAGAGGCCAATAAGAATACAAGAGGCCTATAGAACATCCAACAAATTTGACCAGAAAAGAAAATCCTCCCGCCACATAATAATCAAAACAGTAAGTATATAGAACAAAGAAAAAAATACTAAAAGCTGCAAGGGAAAAAGGCCAAGTAACATATAATGGCAAACCCATTAGAATCAAACCTAACTTCTCAACAGAGACAATAAAGCCAGAAGGGCCTGGACGGATATCATGCAGGCCCTAAGAGGACACAGATGTCTATACCCAGCAAAACTCTCAGTCCTCATAGACAGAGAAAACAAGATATTCAATGACAAAAAAAATTTCAACAATACCTACACACAAAACCAGCGTTACAGAAGACACTATAAAGGAAAAATACAACCCAAAGAAAACTAGCTACTTTCAAGAAAACACAGGAAATAAACTTACTACCACAGCCAACATCAAAATCAAAGGATCTAATAGCCACTGGTCATTAATCTCTCTCAACATCAATAGACTCAACTCTCCAATAAAAAGACACAGACTAACAGAATGGATGTGTAAAAAAGACCCAGCAATCTGTTGCATACAAGAAACACACCTAAGTCATAAAGATAGACATTACCTGAGGGTAAAGGGTTGGAAGATGGCTTTTCA